CAGCCCTGGGGGCAACTGTAAATTCTACCAGTGGAACAAACATGCCAGAGGCCCACACAGCGTGGTGGCAACTTTGCGGTTGACTCCGTTCACGTAAATTGTTTCAAGTCTACCTAACGAGAGAACTCTGGGCGCCATGGACGTGAGCGGACAGTGGCTGCCTCTCCCCAAGGGGTCCCAGACCCTTCAGCCTCTGAGGCCCAGAGTAGACCCCTTTAGTCGGGGGCGGAGTCGCTGTGGGAATGGACTGGGTGAGAGGGGCGGAGCCACAGGCCCCGGCTGCCATGTGCTCACTGGGAGACCCAAGGGCACTCAGGTGTCATCGGTGCCAGGCAACCAACCACAGCTCAGTCCCCAATGCTTTCAAGTGCTCCCCATACCTGCTGACTGCAGCCTTCAGCAGTCCTTCTGGGGCCAGAGTCTCCCCTCCCCGTCTGGACAATTAAAGATGCCCACAGGAAGCCCAATACCTCGGCTGAACAATTAAGACAACCCTTAACCTTCCATTTCCTACAAAAGCGCCTGCCCTGTGGAGCTCCTTCAGGTTCTCTGGCCCCTGGGGTGCCCCTGAGCCCATTTTACAAATGAGGAAACTGAGGCCAAGAAGGCTCACAGGGTCATACAGCCAGGAGGGGTCGGAGTTGAGACTGAAGGGCAAAACTGCCGAAGTCAAGCTTCCTGAGCCTGTCCTTAGAGACAGCCTCAACCTGCGGTCCCCCAAGCCGCCTAAAAGCCCCTGAAGAGGCCGCTTTAAAATGCAGGTTTCAGGGCGCCCGAGGGGCTCAGTCAGTTAAGTGGCCAACTCTTGATTTCAGCTCAGGTCGGGAGCTCACAGTTCATGGATTCAAGCCCCATGTCAGTGCTCTGCACCAAGAGCCCGAGGCCTGCTTGAAATTCTGTCTCACTCTCTCTCTGCCCCCTCACTGCCACATGCTCTCTCGCTCTCTCTCTCAAAATAAATAAATACACTGGAAAAAAAAAATGCAGGTTTCGAGCCCCCCCCCCTGCTCTCTAAGTCTGATTCCTCAGGTCTGGTGACGTGTGTCTTAGCCACCTTCCTGGAGCCTCCATCCGGAGGTCTGGAGTGGGGAGACTGGCTGGGGCCGCAGGGCAGGGCGGGCCAGGGCCCCGACCCCCTCATCCAGCCTGGCTGCTCAGGCCCCGCTCACGCCGGAGCGGGTAGGCCGACCCCTGCTTTTGAGTCAAAGCCGACAGCCAGGGGTCTGGCTCTGCACACACACACCCCAGCCCAGGAGAGCCGGGGCCCGTCCCGCCTCTCTCTCCCTGGCTCCTTATCAGGGCCAACTGCGGCCTGCGAGAAACTTTGTTTTCAGAGGGTTTTGGGTATTTTTTAATTTTGTTCACTGTTTTTATTTATTTCTGAGAGAGAGAGACAGCGTGAACAGGGGAGGGTCAGAGAGAGAAGGAGACACAGAATCCGAAGCAGGCTCCAGGCTCTGAGCTGTCAGCACAGAGCCCGACGCGGGGCTCGAACCCATGAACCGTGAGATCATGACCTGAGCTGAAGTCGGACGCCTAACTGACTGAGCCACCCAGGCGCCCCCGGAGGTTTTTAATCCTAAAAATACATGTTGTTATTTTTTTTAATGTGTATTTATTTTTGAGAGAGAGCCAGAGACTGCGAGCAGGGGAGGGGCACAGAGGGAGAGGGAGACACAGAGTCTAAAGCAGGCTCCAGGCTCTGAGCTGCGGCACAGGGCCTCATTCTCAGGGCTCAAACCCACAAACTGTCGAGGTCCTGGTCTGAGGCGAAGTCAGATGCTTAACCGACTGAGCCCCCCAGGTGCCCCTCTAAATATACATTTTAGAGAAAACTATTACCCAGAACCCCCACCACCCCTCACCTCTTTTTCCCAGAATGCGCATCCCTGGAGAAGGGACAGGCTGTCAGCCAGGGGAGCCATCCCGTGCCTTCCTCACCCCCAACCGAGGGTCTGTCACCTTCCAGCTCTGGCCATTCAGCACTTCTGTCCCCCCACTGTGTGCCTGGCTTAGTAAGTATCAATAAAGCCCGCAGAGGTACCTGCCCTGGTGGAGTTTACATTCTAGTGGGACAGAGGGGATATACACAGAGAGCAACAAATGAAGTCACTCTGGGGGCTGGAAGAACGCAGAGGGTGGGGAGGGGTGGCAGGCGGGGGAAGATCGGCCAAGCCCCTCGTGCACAGTGAGAAGTGAAGAGGGGCCTGGGTTCTGGAGGTGATCCGGGCAAGGGAAGAGCTTCCCAGCAGAGGAAGCAGCTGGAAGGTGAGAATGCGCTTGCTGCGTGAGGTCATGGCCAGGTCGCCCTGGGCTCAGAGCCGCTGAGCCTGGGTTTTATTCCAAGTGAGTTGGGGAGATGGCTGTCCGTCCTGCCCTCCCCATCCCACCTCACCCAGGTCAAAACAGCCTCCTGTCACTGGATCCAGCAAATTCCAGGGTGGGGAGAACTGAGGTGATCTTCTTTTCCTCTTTTTCTGCCGGCATTTCTAATTCTTCCACACTGGATCTGTCTTGTGTAAGGAATTATTAAAGCTGTGCAAAATTGAAACTGCACCATGTACTTGACAGTACAGTTAGGCGTCCGACTTCGGCTCAGGTCATGATCTCACGGTTCATGGGTTCGAGCCCCACGTCAGGCTCTGCACTGACAGCTCAGAGCCTGGCTTGACCTCCGGTCCCCTCTGATGATCCCTCCCTAACTGCCTGTCCTGGCCTTGGGCCCCTCCTGCCCCTTAGAGGCTGGGGTCTGAGAAGAATCCTGCAGGGAGGCTTCCCCTGGGATGGGGTGCGGCCTGGGGCTCTGCAGAAGGCGAGGGTTTGAAAAGTTCATATCCTGTGCTGCGGTTTTACCCTCAGGAAATGAAATAGAACAGACATAGAACCCAACTGCTAATGTGATCATGCAGTTGGACATGCGTCCTCATTGACTTGGCGATGACATCCTTAATTCTCCTTTTTGGTCTCTCCCTTAACCGCCGTAGCAGCCCTTGGATTCGGGCTGCTGACCTCAGGGAGTCAGGGCTCAGGGCTCCTGCAACTGGCCTCAAGTATGACGACTAAGGGGCATGTGCTTCCCTTAAGGAAAAAAAGAAAAAAAGTAGGTCACCGTTTCCTTATCAAATGCCCCATTATAACTTTGTGACATACCGTCCTGTTAAAGTGCTTGGCTTTCTACTCCACCCTCCCTCCAAAAACGCACTGCAGGCATTTTGCTTTACCTCCGGAAGACTTGGCAACCAAGAGACAATGCGTTCGTAAGGGTGAGTCACCTGGATGCAGTTTAATGATCATGCCCTCGGAAGCCTCCAGCCACAACTCCTGCCCTTGTTTTGGGGATAGGCTTCTCCTGGACCCACAGGCTATTGTTTTCCTGGCTCCTGGAGGTCAGAGGCTGGCGATATTCAAACCCAGGCCTCCAGACCCCTAGTTCAGGGCCCACCAGCCACCACGAGCACTGGACTAGGAGTCAGCAGACCTGGCTTTGGGTCTCTGCTTAAAGAATGTTCTATTTAGATTCCAAGAAGAATCAAAGGAAACTGTTACATGATTGTTGGATTCCTGGTGGCCGCTGTGTCACCATAGTTACTCCTTAGATACACTTGACATACCTCCTCCTCGCAGAAAGATCCAGTCTTTCAAACCCTGGATACATGGGACATCTGGGGGACTCCGTTAAGCTTCCAACTATTCATTTTGGCTCAGGTCATGATCGCACAGTTTGTGAGTTAGAGCCCAGGGGCTCTGGGCTGAAAGCCCTGGGGCCTGCTTGGAATTCTCTCTCTCCATCTCTCTCTGCCCCCCCGCCCCCCACAAGTGCTCTCTCTTTCTTTCAAAAAATAAATAAATAAGCCTTAAAAGAAAAAAAAAAGAATAAAACTCTGGACCCTGGATACGTCTCCACCGTAATCCCCGTCCTGATCCCAGAAATGGTAACAGAATGACAGCACTGGGGTCTGCAGCTCGGAAACACGGCAGGGGTGAACAAGGAAGTTGGGCCGCAGGCCTGAAGCTGTTATCTGACTCTCATTGTGCGGGAGTAAGTGTCCAGCCAAGTCCAGTCCCGGCCGGGCAGTCGGGACCTCACCAGGCGCTGGGGAAGGAGGGCAGGACAGGTCGCTGAACAGGCCACTCCCCAGGGACCAGGGAGCCGTCCTCGCCACTGCCAATCTCAGGGACTCTCCAGGCGCAGGGCGTAGGATCCGGCTCCTCCTCGCCCCCGTGGCCCCCGCCGCCCAGCGACTTTCCACTCGGGCCGGTTCGCCGGGTCCCGAGGGCCCCCTGGCCGCGGCCCCGCGCCCCCCACCCCCACCCCCAACGGCGGTACCGGAGCCTCTACGCCCGTCCAGGAACCTGCCCCGATCCGCACCCCTCCGCGGCCCAGCAGCGCGCAGGCAGGTGTGGGCCCCCTTCCCTTTGCCAGCTCCCCGCCTCCCCGGGGACCCCGCGTGAGGGCCCGGCGGGCGCTCAGGCGGAGGGGCGATTCGCCGCTCCAGGGGTTATGACAGCTAGTGTGTCCGAGCCTTGCAGGGTCCTGGCGCTACGCGCCCCAGGTCGCGCCCGTGACCCCGTTACTCGGGCCAGGACTTGCGGATCAGGACCCAGGCACCGGGTTCAAGGGTCCAGTCCAGAGCGAGCAGGCCCGGTGTCGCTCACGCCCGGAGGTTCCCACCCCTGCACAGGCCGCCGTCAGGCCCGGGGCTCCCCGACCCAGCCCCACCGTCCCCGCACCGCGCGCACCCGGCTGCCTCTCTCCTCCGGAGCCGCGCGGGCGGGCGCACGAAGCACACTCTTTGTCTGCGCCGCCTGTGCACCTCCCCCGCGCGCCACGTCCTCCCCCCCCGCCTGGCCCGCCCCGGACACGCCCAGCCAATGAGAGGCGGGGATGACGCGCATGGTCCGGGGTGTTGTCCGCGCCTCGCCCGCCCATTGGCTGCGCTCCGCATCCCCCTCCCAGGAGCCCGGCCGGCAGGCCCGAGGGGCGGGGCGAGCGGCCCGAGGTGTGGGACCACCGGCGGCCGGCGGACTGTCGCGAGGGCGAGCGAGCCGGCCAGCAGGCAGCTGCGCGGGCGGAGGACCCGCGGTCTGAGCCGCTGCCGCCGCCGCCCCCTGCCCCCGGCTGGCCCCGGGCTCCGCACCAGGAGGCGGCGGCCGGGCCGAGTCCCAACCGTGCGAGCCGGAGCGACTCCCCGACTGCCACCAGTCCCGGCGAGGGCCCTGAGGAGAAGGACGAGGAAGAGGGGCGGCCTCGCGGGGGGCCCGGCCATGGCGCTCGACTTCCTGGCTGGATGCGCTGGGGGTAAGCAGGCGGGCGGCGCCCACCCCGGCCGCGGGATCTCAGGAGGCCGGGGCCAGGCGTGCGCGGTGGGGGGCTCCCCTGCGGGCTCTGGGGGTGGCTCACCCCCCGGCTAGGGTTTCCTCGCCCGGAGCATGCGGGGCTCTTGGGGACGCGCACAGACAACAGGCCCGGAGTGCGTCTAGCACGCCGTCCGCCGGGACAGGTGTCGTCCAAGTCCCTCGGGGCACGTCCAGACGGGCACCAGGGCAGCACCGTGGCTTGGCCAAGTGGGCGACTGCCAGGAGGACGTCCCTTGCCCCGTGAGCCCTTCTTGCGCGAGGCCTCGAGCGCATCTCTCCCTGGTTCCCGTATCCCCTACCCGCGCCCCGGGCCCCAGAAGTTGGGGGCTGGCTCCACCCCTTTCCCCGCAGGTGTCTGGGCAGGGCTGGGGCCACAGGAAGACCCCCTAGGCGGCTGGCCTTGGAGGGCCCTGAAGGGCATTGGCCGGCCCCTAGGCGCCAAGTCATGCTTTGGCACCCCTCCCTAATCGTTCAGGGGGCTCCTGGCGGGGTCACCCCGGTGGGGAGTGGGCCTGACACACGGTTTGGGCTAGCCCTGTGCTCACGGTGCATGCGGCTGGTGTGGGGCTCCTTCGCCCAGGCCAGGCTGTTAGGGTCCTCCCCAGGCCTGTGCCCCCCTCCCCGGGAACAGAGCGGGTGCTGTCAGTGTGCAGCCCTGGCTCTGCTGTGGAACGATCCTGGGCATGGAGCCGGGCCCTTCCCTGTTTGGCCTTTACTTTCTTTGCTTTTACTTGGAGAGTTCATTTATTTAAGGGGTAGTAACTGCAAGCCAGGTTGTGTCATTCCCCAAGGAGCTGACAGTAGAGTGGCTGCCTGACCCCAGGCCTGGTCCTGCTCTGATGGTGGCTGTCTCTCCTCCAGCACCTGAAGTTGCTTTCACCATTTATCTGCTTGGGTTTGGCACCCTGGAGGAAGAGGAGTACAATGGCCTGGGGCATTTAAACCTCTGCAATTTCAGCTTCCTGTTCTGGGCAAGAGGAGACTGGTGGAGAGGGCTGTGGGCCAAGAAAGTGATGCAGGTCAAGAGATTTAAGAACTTCCCAGCCTGTTACCCAATCAGGCCTCAGGAAATCCCCCCCGCTGGAGTCTGCAGAAGGGGGAAGAACCCAGGGCCTTTCGTAAATGCGTGAATTCCTCCCAAGCCCAGGCAGAGGAGACAGGAGGGGGCAGCCTCTGCAGATCCAGCTCTAAGCTCCCCTGTTCCCCTCCCCCCTCTGGTGCCTGTACCTGCCACCACCCCTGCCAGCTCCTCCTCCGGAGCCCCCAAACCCTCATCTAGGCAACCTCAGTGGTGGCTCAGTGAGGCTGGACTGCCCCATGGCCAAAGCCCCTTTCTTGGGGAATGTGGGTTCTTTCCCCAGAGGGACAGGATTCCTTCTGCTTTCTCCCAGGTGTCCTGGGAGCTGTGGGGTTCGGGGCAGGACCCATCCTAAGGCCAGGCCGCTAACCGCCTTTCCCCTCCCACACACACGTGTTCAGTCACTACAGGCTCCAAGCTCAAAGGACCCCTCCTGGAATGTCCTCCGCCCTTCCTCACTGGACCCAGCTAGGATAGGAGAGATCTTGGGGCGTCTGGGTGGCTCAGTCAGTTAAGAGTCTGACTTTGGCTCAGGTCATGATCTCACAGTCTGTGGGTTCGAGCCCCACGTCGGGCTCTGTGCTGACAGCTAGCTCAGAGCCTGGAGCCTGTTTCGGATTCTGTGCCTCCCTCTCTCTCTGACCCCCCATCCCCACCCCGCTCACGCTGTCTCTCTCTCTGAGAAATAAATAAAACATTTAAGATTTAAAGAAGAAAAAAAGGAGAGATCCTGTCCAGGCTGCAGGGTTGGGGCAAGGTCAGGGTTCAGCACCATGTGGAGCTATGGGCCCCAGCCCCTACAGCACCTAACCCCCACTCCCCAACTGCCTTACTCGGATCCAGGGGCAAGGCGGGGGCTGCTGGTGCACACCTGCGTCCCTGCTGTGTGAGTGGAGGCCCGAGCCTCCCAGGCAGATGAGGATGTAAGCGGCTGTCCCGCTTCCCTGGGATCCTCTCCTGGTCTCATGTGACCCAAGAGAAACCTTGGCCTTGAGAAGTGGAGGCACTAGTGGGACACTGACCTGATTGTGTCCCAGGCCTGCCTTCTGGGTCCCTGGCACGTAGCCTGTGCGGAGGGACTATCTAGGAACTATGCGCGGGCAGCGCCCCCACCTCGGCGCCTGGCCCCTGGAGACCCTTGGAGCCCCTGCCCAGTTCCTTCGGGTTGGGCTCCTCCAGACCTGAGGCTCAAGGCAGGGTCATGGCTATGCTTCTCCTCCGTGGCCTGGGGTCCCTCTAGATTCAGATTCCTGGGAGGGAGAACAGTACATCACCTCTGATTGGCGGAGTGTAGGGTCACGTGTTTTGTTTCACCCTCGGGGAGGTGGGGCAGGCACCCTGATTGACCGCATCGGGGTGCTCACGGCTGTGGAAGGGCCGAATGCCTACCTACATCCCCCCCAGGGGTCAGTCCCAGGTCTGCGGCCGCCACCACCCTGTGCTCTGAATGGGGGTCTCCCTCCCCTGTGCATGGATGGGAGGAGGCGCGGCTCCATGGTGGGGCCGGGAAGCCTGTGTGGGCAAGGCAAGTCTGCCGTCCTCAAGTCTCCCACAGCTCTGCCTCCAGGACAGGGTTACCCCCTCCTACCCCAGAGGGCCGTGGGCACCGGCTGTGGAGGTGGGAGAAAGGGTCCACTTGTGGCGCCTCGGCCACCTGTCGGGGAGCAGGCCTGGAAGGGCTTCCCGTTGAGGTAAAAAGGGTAAGGCTTTGGGGGACCTGAGGCCTGGATAGAGGTGGGCCCACTGTTCCTGTGAATAGAGGTGTCCGCAGTGAGGGCACTAAGCCCCTCCCCTGAGGGCATGGGAACGGGCCTCTGGAGGACGTGGGCGTGCAAATGGCTGCCACTGGGGGCCTCCGAACAGAAGCCGGGGGGTGAGGGCTACCCCTTCCATCCAGAAGGCTGATGAAGGCAGGGACCTGAGAAGTCTGGGCCCAGAGCCAGGACCGGCCACTCAGAGGAAGGGGACCTCCTGCATTTCCAGCGCTGGCTTCTTGGGGACCCCACAACAGGGCCTGGCTACAGAGGAGCACAGTTGGAGAGAGAAGGGAAGCCAAAACAGCATACCCCCTGCAAGTGTCAGGTTTCCAAAACCCAAGGAAATCAGTTACAGCCCCAGAAAATACGTTCTAGAACTAGGCTTTTTTTTAAATTTTGTTTTAAGGTTTATTCATATTGAGAGACAGAGAGATGCTGAGCATGAGTGGAGGGGGGGAGGGGGACAGAGAGAGAGGGAAGCACAGAATCCAAAGCAGGCTCCAGGCTCTGAGCTGTCAGCACAGAGCCCCACGCAGGGCTCGAATTCATGGACCACGAGATCGTGACCTGAGCTGAAGTTGGATGCTTAACTGACTGAGCCACCCAGGCGCCCCTAGGCTTTTCAAGTTTAGAAAATTCACAACATGCCACGAAAGAGGAAGTGGATCCCAAAAGATAGAAACGAAAGTGTCTCAGAGAACCAGAGCCACAGGCCTGGAAGTCTTGAGGGAAGAGATAACATGGGGATGTCTTTTCATCTTCCTGTGAATGTTAGGGGTTCCAGAAGGAGAAAAACGTCTGGAGATGAGGGTTAAGATGAATAAATAATAAAATTTTCTCTGATCAGAAAAAGGCCTGAGTGTGCAGAGAGACAGAGCTGGTGTACCAGACAGGGTTACTTTAAAAAAAAAAAAAAAAAAGACACACCCTTGGCATCTCCTGGTGACATTCCTGAAATCTGCAGATAAAAATCTCAGAGGCTTCCTGAGAATAATAATGCATAAATTATTGACAAAGGAGAAAGAACATACTGGCAACCGATTTCTCAGCTGCGGCACCAGAAGAGAGAAGTTTCTGGGACACTGCCACCCTAATGGCCTGGGCCTAGGTGCCTCCCCAGAGCAGAGGACCGTTGTTCCCCGATGGTGCTTAAGAAATAGATCATACAGGGTCGTTTCCTCACGTGTTAACCTCCGAGAAAAGTAATCAAGAAAGGCTCCGACAGAATGTCAACTGGTCAGAGTGGAGACCCCAAGCAGCGGGTAGAGGGGAGGAGCAGAGGAAACGGCTCGGAATCTCGTGGGGTCTAAATGGGGTAGAAGAGGAAGCTCTCAGGGGTGGAAACCTTGTTGGGGCGGCTCTTACTAGGTTGGGGTAGGGCAGCAGAGGGGGGTGCAGAGAAAGCCTTGGGGGGGGGTGATAGTTCGTATCCTGTTTAAGATACAAGAAATAACCTTTAGCCAGACTTGCACATTAGCAAGCAGAAAGCGGATACGCCCGGAACCAGCAAAAACGTACAAAGGAAAAGGGATGAAATAAACCATTCACGTAAACTAACCTGGAGTTGCGTCAGATCTGGCGTCTGGGTGGAACCGGAGACACCTGCAGATGGAGCGGCGGAAGCGAAGCGGAGCCGGAGCTCGTTCCCAGGACCATCGGAAACGAACGAGTAGGGCCAGGCTGAAAATTAACCGTCACAAAACCATGCCGGGCGCGCGTACCCAGAAGGAAAGCAGGGCTGGCAAAGTTAGCGTCAAACACAGTGGGTCCTGAGGCCCAAAGCGTGAGGCAAGGTGAGAGGGACACGCTACCGAGATGAAAGATGCAAGTCGTAAAGAGGCGCGGTGACTCCCGCTAACCGCGGGGCACCCACCACCCTGACAAGCAGCCCCAGCGGGGGCAGGAGAGGCGAGTGGGATGGAGCAGAAGACCTAGGCTCCAGTCCTCTCACCACGGGAGCCACGAGGCATGGACACTACTTCTCTCAGCCTCAGGTCCCTCATCTGTAAAATGGCCTAACAGTCCGTCCTTTACATACGCGAGGGAGACTTAGTACCCATACAAAACGAACACCAGGGACCGCAGACAGAAGCGTGACTTAATTATACATAAACACTCCCAGCGCTAAGAGGAGACCTTTAAGAGATTCACACACAAATTCGCACACGGGTCAGTCACTCCACGTCCCTGAGCCTCCCTGTCTCCTTCCGTGAATGGGGCCACGAGATGCCTGATTCCCAGTGATGTTTACACCTGAACAGCACTCAGGACTCTGAAAAGTGTGCAGGAGCCAATTTGGAGAGTGAAGAGCCGAGGGGCCTGGGGTCTTGGCGGAGCCTGGACAGACGCCGCTTTGCGCATGATCACACCAAGTCCCGAGCTGCCTCCCTGGGCCCCAGGTGGCTCCGTGCAGGGAAGGGAGCCGTCAGCCGGTGCTGGGTCCTGAGTCAGTGCAGGGGGGCATGGGGGGGGCTGATGCTCCCACCTGTACAGGTGAGGGGAGTGAGCCGCAGACCCCCAGTCTGTTGGGAGCGTGGCCAGTTGGTGAGTGGCAGAGGGAAAAGTCAAATCTGGGTGACCCTCGGGCCCAAGTCCACATACAGTCCCTGGAGCCAACCCCCTGCCCTCGCCCCTGCCTCCGCCGCGCCGGGAGGCATTTGGCGCAATGGGACTTTCTCAGAAGTAGCACATGCGGCTTCCCGGGGTCAGTGTCTCAGGCTCAGTGAGATGCGGGGGCGGGAGAGACCCCAGCACTGGGTTGGACAGACCCTGGCCTGACCTCAGGGTGTCGGCCCCCACCCCCACTGCCCGTGCAGACCTGAGGACGAGGGGGACAGCAGGATGCCTGGCACCCGGTAGGCGCTTGGCAAACGTCTCTGCCGCGTGCAGTCCTTGCAGGAAGGCCCCTGCACCGCGGGTTTGCAAGGCATTCAGGTGACATGCCCCTTTCTTCCCCCAGGTGTGGCAGGCGTGCTCGTGGGACACCCGTTTGACACGGTCAAGGTGAGTCTTTTGTCACAAGTCACTCTCAGGTCTTTGGGGAGGCGCAGACGTTGGACCTGTGCAGGGCTGGGGTGGCTGGAGGCCCCTCCTGTTTAAAACTCTGTACTTATTCTTGGGGCGCCTGGGTGGCTTAGTCAGTTAAGCGTCCGACTTTCGCTTGGGTCATGATCTCGCGGTTCCTGGGTTCGAGACCCGCGTCGGGCTCTGTGCTGACTGCCAGCTCAGAGCCTGGAGCCTGTTTCAAAGTCTGTGTCTCCCTCTCTCTCTGACCCTCCCCTGCTCACGCTGTCTCTCTCTCTCCTAGAAATAAAATTATAAAGAAAAATAAATAAAATAAAAATCTGTACTTATTCTTGAGAGACAGAGAACAAGTGGGAGGGCAGGGAGAGGGGGCAGAGGATCCGGAGCGGCCTCTGCACTGACAGCCCGATGTGGAGCTGGAACTCAGAGCCATGAGACCATGACCTGAGCTGAAAACAGGAGTCGGACCCTCACCCGACTGAGCCCCCTGTCTCCCCACCCCCACATCTTCTCGAAAGAGCAGTCCAGAGAGAAAATACGGAGAAACCGAGGCTTGTCAGTGTTCCCATGAACGTGATCTTCCTAGAGTGATCACCATGGGCACGAAGCAGGGCGACCTTCCAACGGGCTGGTGCGTGCCTGCGTGGAGTCTGTGGCCCCAGAGCGTGGGACGGGGCAGGCGCGCAGCGAGCCAGTTCCTCCTCCATAAACTGTCCAGATCCAGGTTCTCAGATGCTCGAAACCGAAACAAAAGAAGTCATGTTCTCCAGCTTGGAACTCGCAAATACGAGTCTGTCCCTGTGGCTGGGGTCTGCGTCCTTACACCTGGGAATCGGGGCGAGCGGTAGGCGACGGGGCGCTGGGCCAGACCCTGTGTCCCACTGTGAACACTGAACTTGGCACCTGTTCCTGCTGGAGGGCGAGTAGAGCCAAGGCAAGGATGTCATCCCTAGCTGGGTTTGAGGTCACTTCCTGTCCCCTCTGTTTTCATCGGAAGCCAAGAGGTTCGCTGGCCAAGAAAAGGAGTTAGGCACTCAATGCTGGGGTTTCTCCGGCGCGGGCTCTGTGGATTGGCTCTGAGCTTACGCGCTCTGCCCTGGGCCCCTGTTAGCCATTGTAGTGTGTGACCTCGGGCCGCTGGCTTTACCTCTCGGCTCTGTTCACGCCTGCAAGCTGAGGGGTTAGGCAAGATTACGGATGCCGTCGCGGGGCCGTGTGCTCAACAGCAGAGTTTGGGCCGCACGAAAGGCTAGTTCTGAAGAGCACAGCTTTCCCCGTGCAGTTTGCCCGCTGGTACCCCCTCGCTGACAGGGCACAGACGCCTGGCCCTGCCCCATCCTGGATTCCAAAAGCCACGGATGGCTGCGTGGCTCCCTGGGCCTCATGGGAGAGCCTCCCGGGCTGTCCTGAGCGCGGGCTGTGGAAGCTGGGAGAGCCCTGGCCCTGCCTGCCCACCCTTTATGGGGATCTGTCTTTCCAGGTGCGGCTTCAGGTCCAGAGCATAGAGAAGCCTCAGTACCGAGGGACCTTGCACTGCTTCCAGTCCATCATCAAGCAGGAGAGTGTGAGTGGCCTGGGTCCGGGGGGGGAGGGGGGTCAGGGTGGCCGCAGGGAACCAGCCTCTAGGATGTTTTGGGCCCCAGAGCACAGAGCTGGAAAAGCAGGTGTCCGCCGGACTGTGGGCAGATGGGTACTTTGGAAATGGCTAGGTGTGACTGCCCAGGCCTTGGACACCGGGGACACTGGTCCTGGGAGGATCCTGCTTCGTCCTCTTGAACAGGAGGGCTGGGCTGGGGCCACCCCCCTCCCGCCCCCCCCCCCCCCCCCCCCCCCCCCCCCCCCCCCCCCCCCCCCCCCCCCGCAGCAAGCAGGGCCCGTGGGAGGCCAGCCACCGGAGGCCCCAGGCAGAAGCACCCCTGACGCGTGTGTGTGCGCCCCGCAGGTGCTGGGCCTGTATAAGGGCCTGGGCTCGCCCCTCATGGGGCTCACGTTCATCAACGCGCTGGTGTTCGGAGTGCAGGGCAACACCCTGCGGGCCCTGGGCCGCGACACGCCGCTGAACCAGTTCCTGGCGGGCGCGGCGGCCGGCGCCATCCAGTGCGTCATCTGCTGCCCCATGGAGCTGGCCAAGACGCGGCTGCAGCTGCAGGACGCGGGCCCCGGCCGCACCTACCGCGGCTCGCTGCACTGCCTGGCGCAGATCTACCGGCGCGAGGGCCTGCGCGGCGTCAACCGGGGCATGGCGGCCACCCTGCTGCGCGAGACGCCCAGCTTCGGCGTCTACTTCCTCTCCTACGACGTGCTGACGCGCGCACTGGGCTGCGAGCCCGGCGACCGGCTGCTGGTGCCCAAGCTGCTGCTGGCCGGCGGCACGTCGGGCATCCTTTCCTGGCTGTCCACCTACCCCGTGGACGTGGTCAAGTCGCGGCTGCAGGCCGACGGCGTGAGGGGCCCCCCGCGCTACGCCGGCTTCGCGGACTGCGTGCGCCTGAGCTACCGCGCCGAGGGCTGGCGCGTCTTCACGCGCGGGCTGACGTCCACGCTGCTGCGCGCTTTCCCCGTCAACGCCGCCACCTTCGCCACCGTCACCGTGGTGCTCTGGTACGCGCGCGGCCCCGAGGCGCGGCCCGAGGGCGAGGCTGTGCCCGCCGCCGCCTCCCCCACCCCGTCGGGGCCCGGACTGGCCCAGCCCTCCAGCCTGTGAGGCCGGCGCGGCTCCGGACTCCATCGGGCCCGGGCTGGGTGCCACGCGCCGGCCGGGGGCCCTGGCCGCACGCTCCACGTCCGCGGTGTCCTCGGCCGCGGAATAGGGAGCCTCGCACCCGCCTCGTACCGAGCCCGTTGCTGTTACTTGGGGTCTTCCGCAAACCCAGCTGACACTCCAGCCCTTTCCTGGGGTCCGGGCCAGCACCACCGTGGGGTCTTTGATGACCGACCCGTGGTCCATCCGGTGACCAAGTCCACCCGGCAGAGCCCCAGGGACCCGTCTTGGCCACCTGTCCGTTCTCTGTGTTAGGGACAGAGAGGCCGCTCCAGGTGCCTCCTGGTTTTCCAGAACAGAGTACTCTGTCGGTGCGCCCAGCGTCTCCGGTTGGCACAGCTGGGAATGTCCCTGCTGCTGCCACGCCCACTGGAGCGGGACCTTGGGGGACCTGCTCAGAACCTTGGGACCGGCTGGCAGCTCCCTATCAGCCTACAGGCTGGGCTGGGGGACCAGGCACTGGTCAGGGCCTGGGGGAGATGGAGTTAAGTCCAGCCGAGGAAGGCAGAGGGCTTGCCGCCCTCTGGTCCTCAGGCGCCCATCTATAAAATGGGGACATGGGCCAGCTGCTGTGTGGGGCTCTGGCCCGCGGCCGCCGGCCAGTCCCTCAGGTGTGCCGCAGTCATCAGAGGCACAGGTACAGGGGGACCCCCGCTTCCGAGCAAATGAGGTCTCTTCCAGGAAGTCCTGCGCGGTGTTCCTGGGAGGCCCTCCTGGGACAGTGAGCTTGAGGCAGCCCAGCACACCTGGTACAGTGCGGCCGTGTTTGGGGACAGGGAGGTGGATCGTTTTGCACAGGCTGGAGAGAACCGTGGCCTCCTTTGCCCGGAGTGGGGCTCAGCCTCTCGGGCGATGCGGTACGGTCTCCCGAGAGGCAGACTGGGGTCGAGGATGCCAAGACTCCCATCCTGTTCTCGCGCTGTCGTTGCATAGAAACCGCCGAAGGAATAAAATATTCTTTGTTTTCTTAAGAGGCGTGGCCGTGTTTGTGTGTCCCAGAGGAGGGGCTTGGGGCCGGCTCGCCGGAGTCTGTGCTCTGGGGCCCTGATGGCAGCCCGAGACCAGGGGAGGCCCTGGGGTACATCTAGACCCTCTTTCTCCATGTCTGCAAAATGAGGCCAGTGTAGGCACTAAGATTATCAGGTGAGTAAACTCGAAAACATGCTGGACAAAGTCTCAGCCGTTCAGTGAAGGCTCCCAGACGCCTGCGATTTCCCAGCAGTCTTCCCGCCTGCGCCCTGCGCACCCTCCCCCCGGGCCGGCCAGGCACTGTGCGCTGTGAGCCCTCTGCGTACCGAGGTGTGGTGAGGGCACAGAGAGGGAACACTCGCTGAGGCCAGAGCAGCCTCCTGGGGGAGGGGAGGTCTGAGTGGAGCTCTGGGAAGTGAATGGCTCCCTCTGAGATTAGACCTACTCCAGCCTGAGACCCGTGAGGGCTCCCTGGAGGAGGCCTCATTTGCCAAAGGGCCGTCTTGCTGTCGGCCCACCCTCACTTCTGCCCACCTTCCTGGAGGCAGTCCTGGGCACCCTGAGTCCCTTCCTTCTCAACTGCTTGAGCCTGGAAGCTTCTGCCTCACTTCAGGGGAGGGCCGGGGAGAGGGCCGCCAGTTCTCTGAGACACCACGTTCTGTCCCAGGCATCAGGCCTGTGACACTGAGCTTGTCTGCGAGGCTGGGGTGTTCTCAGGCACATCACAGTCTCCTTTAACCCAGCGGCCCCCACCCTGGGGGCCCAGGCAGCACCTTCCCCCAGGAAGTCCCCCTGGCCTCCCTCACTTCCGTTTCCTCTGAAAGAGACCAGGGAGGTGCTGAAAACCAGGGCCCCCCATCTGCCCTGAGTGTGGAGGGTTAAACATTACCAGCAAATCAGGCAGGAGGAAGGGTTGGGAAGCACGTGGATTTATGAATTTGACATTTCATCTTCTCCCCGATTTGAATTCATGTTTATTTGGAATAAGTAATGCAATTAACATGGTAAAACTTACAAATATAAACGGACCGCGGGCTGTGCTGTGAAGAGGGAAGCTTGCCACCCCCCCCCCCCCCAGTCAAGGCAGGGGCGGCCGCTGGCTCCCCGGGCAGCTCCAGGCCAGCACGTGGGAAGAAGCACTCCAGCAAAGCGTGACCTGGGTACTGACCGTTCTGTGCTTTTTCCACTTGACAATTAACTCGCGGTGCTTTCCCTGGGTCACCATAACAAAATGCCACACGCCGTGTGGCCGGAACTGACATTTATTCTCTTGAAGTTCTGAGGGCCAGAAGCCTGGGATCCTGATGCCACCTTGACTGGCAGTGGCTGGTGACCCTCAACTCGTAGACACACCGCTCCAACCGTCACCTCTCTCTCCATATGGCCGTCCTCGTGGGCCTCGCTGTCTCCTCTCGAGGACACCTGTCATCGGCGGATGGGCCCGCCCGGCTCCAGAAGGACCTCACTTTGGCTGATAACATCCACAAGGTTGGAGGCTGAGGACTTCGATGTCTCTTTTTGGGGGACGCAATGCAACTCACAACTAAGGGACCTTTCCCTTAGTAGTGTGTTCCCTTAGCAGCTGCCCAGGCCACGGAGGGGACAGTGGGGCTGGAGCTGAGGGGTCAGATGTAACGGAGGCCCATGTGCAGAGGTGGGGGGAGGCGGAAGGAAGGCAGTGTGGCTCCTGCAGCGGCCATGAGGATGGAGAGGGCCCCCGGGCCGTGTCACATAACGGGGCTGAGCCTCCCAGGTGCCTTCCTAAGAGCCAACCTGCCATTTCTAATGGAACCCGATTTGCGCTGGGCTTCAGTGGATCTTGCAGCCAGAGGTGGCCACGTGTCCCAGATCCCCCCGGACAGCGACTTGAAAGCGGGGGCTGGGGTTTCTGAGAAAGGCTTGTCAAAGGGACGAATGCACCATGGCCCATCCTGTGACTTCTGACCCCAGGGAAATGGGGGCGCGATGCCTGCAGAGGCAGAGGCAGCCTGGTCTAGGGAAGGCCAGTCCCACACTCTTCCTTGGGCTCTGTGTCGTGCGTCAGGGCCACGGCCAAGAGCTGGTCGGTTTTACCCAGGGGAGTCACAGGCTCAGGGTTATGCCTTAGAGACGTGCCTGAGCCAAAGGGCACCCGAGGGATGGGAAGGGGCAGCAGGCAGGGAGCGTCACGCAGGAAGGGACGATGATGAAGTCCCCATGGCAGTTTGAGGGACACTGGGTCAACCCGACAAACGTTCCCCCCCACCCCCGCCCCATTTCTCCGGTGCCGGAGGCCAGGCGTGGCGAGGAAGTGTCGGCCACCTTCTCTGGCGCTCACACGTGTCCCTTCGGGCCCCTGGTGCACCGAGTGAGTGCAGCGTCGTCTCCCTCACCCCTCCCTCACCGGCCACTTCCAGGGAGCTATTCATTGGCACTCATAAATCAAGAACCCCGTTCCAGAGCGGGGCCTTCTGCCCCCAGCAGGTTCTGGGACAGGATGGCAGCAGTCACTCCCCCCAACAGACCCCCCACCTGCCGCGTTCACAGGGCCCTCCCACGCCCCTGCCCCAGGCCTGGTCGGGACCGCTGGGCCATCCTCCACTCTGCCTCGGGAGTGTCACAAGAGCCAGGATCAGCCTGGGAGGGCCCCTGAAGTTCCACCCGCCAAGTTCTGTGGCTGCAGGGAACAGATACCCTGGAGTGGCGGGTCAGGCCCCAGCCTGTGTGCTCCTTGGCCTCAGCTTCCTTTCAGCGGTGGCCCAGTGGCTGCTGGGAGCTCAGCCCACGGGGACACTGGCTTGCACCCTGCAGCGCCACACTCTCCCAGGCCACCTGACCTCACCCAGGCTGGAATGATCAGTCTGCCTGACCACACCCCACCATCGAAGAAGCCCCCCCCCCACACACACACCGGGGCAGGGTGCTGCCCCCTGTGCTCCCAGACCTGCTTGGACACCCCCAGGGAGGCTTTCAGGGTCTGCCAACCCTTGAGAGAGCCACCCAGTGGTGACACCTGGAAGGGGCTCCAGCTCCCACTTGGGAGTGCTTAGTCTTTCAGGGAAGCTTTATGGAAGGAAGTAAGATCACCCTGCCCCGGGGAGCAGCAAGACGAAGCCCCAGGGGTCCAAGGTCACGTGCGCTTGGGACCGCGCCCCCCTCCGGCCCCTCCCACCAGCCGCGCTCAGGGCCCCCGACAGATGCTGTCGCCCAGGAGGGGGTGCCATAAGCGTCCCCGCCACAGGGGGCTCCGGAAGTCGCCTGACGTCCCCAGAAAGGCTGGTTTTCCGGGGACCCGGAGGCCAGTGCCGCGTGCACGCGCACCTGGCCTCCCACCCCGCGTCCTGGCGGGGCGGGAGAGCAGCCGGGCGCAGCGCCCCCCGCGGCCGGAGGTGGAGGCGCACCCGGCAGCGCGCGCCGGCCTAGGCTGGAGCCGCACCAGGAGGAATGAGAGGCCCAGCAGCCTGGGAGGGAGGGCAGGGCAGAGGCGACAAGGAACTTGCCAAGGCCAGACAGGGGGTGGCGGGGGAGGATGGGCGCCCCCCACACCTCCAGAGCTGGAGAGGGGCTCTGGCCACCAGCTTCTGGGACTCAGGGGGCCTAATACACAAGCAACACGTAGCAGGAAGTGATGGAAGAGGGGGGCTCGCCCCAGGTCACCATCAGCTAGGCGCAAGCTTCCCCAGCCCGCCCCGCCAGCGCCCTGCTAGCAAGTCCCAGTAGCATGGAAACACCGCCCGACACACAGCTCTCCTGAATGAGCGAGCGGGGGAGGCTTTGGAAATGAAAAACTGCAAAGGGGAAGGTCAAGAGAGGTGGGAGAGGTCGGGGAAAGTAGGTCTGGGCTGGGGCTTAGCTTTGAGCCTAGGTGGAAAGCTCTGGATTTTCCTCTGCCGGAAGTGGGGAGCCACCGCAGGTTCAGGTGGTGAGAGCCCCAGCTAGGAGACGCTCCATCCAGGGCCCGCAGGAAGCTGGAGAGGAGCGGCTGGGACCAGAATAAGGGGCTGAGGCCTGCCGGCCACTAGTGAGCAGCCCCGGGAGCTACCTTCCAAGGCCGGGAATGCCCTCCAGGACACTGGGCAGGGTGGGCATGGTACTGCCCCCTATACAGGGACAGCGGCTTCTTTGTAAGGGGTCGGAGATGGACTCCGGCAGAGCGCCCAGTGGCAAGAGGAAGGCAGGCGGGCCTGGGTTTTGAGTTCCTGCTGCCGGACCTTCACCGATGACCCTCGCCCCTGACACAGGGCCGTGCTGCAGAACACCTCCGAGAGCGGTCTGGAGGTGCGAACGGGTGCTCGCGACGCCTGGCATGGTTCTGGGCATAGTTAGGTTCTCAGCCAGTGTCCCCACGGCCAGCTGGAGATACCGACAAGGGGTAAGGAGGAACAGCACCTCACTGTTATCTGGGGGGGCCCACCGAAAATACTTCCACAGCCCCCCACGACCTCACCTCCTTCCCACCTAAAACCCGGAGATGCACACGCACCATCTTTCACCACCGCCGCCCCTCAGCTCAGCTCTGCCTCAAGCCTTCGCTCGGCAGTTCCGGGTCTCAGGCGGGCCTGGGACTCGCCACCTCGGCAGCACTGTCAGCAGCCCCTTCCATCATTAGCAGAAAAGGAGGGACACGAATGTCCCTGATCAGGACATCAGACACCAGGGCCCCAGCTAGGGCAGAGCAAGAAGATACTGCCCTGCGTTTTGCTATTGACCAAATCCTAAAGAGCTCTCAGTATAGTTTATCGAGTGTTTAAGTCTGTCCCGGGCAGTGAGCTCTTCTCTCTGGCATCGGAGCTCCCGGAACGAACGCTGGGCCAGGAGGATTTCGTCTGGCTGTGCTTTCCGGGAAGTGGGTGAGGCCCTGATTAGAAGTCTGGCCCGTGAGTCCCTCTTGGAGCGGACAGAGGTCATGTTCACAAAGCATTTCCTGCCAGCATGAGTGGGGAATCCTGTGGGTTTCCACCCCTATGCCAGAACCCACAAGGGTTCAAACCCACAAGGAGCCTCCCCCCTAACTCCCCCCACCACGGGCAGCGTGCAGCCAGGGTCACCGGGTGAGAAGGCTTGGGGAGAGGCGGCTCAGAGGACCAAGGGACAAACAAGAACCACAGGCGTTAAAAAGCTTAACAACGTTATGCGTTTATTATACTTTATAGAGCCATGTTACACATGCGTGGTGCTTAGAACGGAGTTATCGTTAAATGTTTTTCTGGATGCAAAGCCATCTGATGCTTGATGCGGATGCCTTAAATACTATAATATTTCTGCATCTATGACCTATGAGCTAAGGAAAAACCAAGGACAATTCCAGAAATGGCAAAGAACATTTCAGAAAAGATGTACATGAGACACAACGCTAAGTCCTTGAGTCAGGGCCTATGGAAGTTTCCAGAAAGTGAATAGAAACAGAACTGTTCTGTGAAAATGGCTTGACCAATCGCCATCCGCAGACAATAGAGCCTCTTAACAGTTATGGATGCTGTAGACACAAGGTTACTCTGTTCCGTACCGATGCCCTTTCCCCTCCACTCTGTATGTGGACCTTGTGTGGCCCCCAGATAGAGCAGCAGCCAGACGACAGCACGGCATGTGCCCCCTCCCCGCGACACCCCCATGCCGTTTCTTACGGTGGCTGAGTGTCTTGAATGAAAGGCAGTCAATCTGATCAAACTTGCCGCTTTGCGGAAAAATCAATCATTGCTGACCTAGACGAACGTGATCCTGCCCGTCACCCTCTGCAGACTCCTGGAGCGTTGGTCAGAAACATGGGGAGCAGGGTGACTTGCTCGCAGGAAGTGCGATTTGCCTGCCGACCTAACCGAAGCCCACGTTCCATTCCAATACTCCCCTCCGGCTGCTGTGGGGGGAGCGGAGGCAGCAAGCCGGCGATATGCCAGCCCCTCCAGCTGCACTCGGGCCCGGCTTAGACACCCTCTGGCACCTTCCAGCATCCTCTCCGGCTTGGAGGGGAAAGCCAGGAGCCTCATGCTGCTGCTTGGAAGGACCTGCGCCCACACCGTCCAGGCAAGCAGGGGACCTGCACACCTGAGCAGTGACAAAGGTGGCCAAGGCCGGTAAGTCAGGGGGCAGTGGAGTTCGTGGGCGGAGCGGTAAGGGGGCGGGGCTTGGGATCTGGGTTTCCTCCCCCGCCTCGGGGTTAAGTCTGGGTGGAAGGCACCTGCCATCACCTGCTGGACTTGACTAATGCTGAGACACCAGGACAAAGGGCTACGAACTAGAGTGACCCTAGGCACCTAGTGCCCCTCGGGCTGGGCGTCTGAGACCACCCAACGACAGGCAGGTTGCTGGCTCCGGCGGGGCCGGCAGAGCAGCTAGGAGGAAGCCTCACGGCAGGGTTGTGGCACAAAGCGAATGCATCAACAGCTTCTGCTCTCCCCCTACACCAGCCCCTGGGGTCCCTGCTCCTGGTGGTGCTCAAAGAGCAGTCGGTCACACGTGGCTTTCCGAAGCCATGCTCGTCTCAGGCCACAGAGGAGTCAGACAAGAAACGATGGATTCTCGCCGCCTGGGCAGAGCGCGGGGCGGGCTCATCGGGTCCCTGGGAGGGCGAGGAAGGGGCTCCTGCGCCCGGGCCACCCGTTCCGAGGTGGGTGACAGTAGCTAAGTGTGGCCGGGCAGGGCGGGGGCAGTAGCAAGCCCCCTCACCGCACTGCAGCGACCGCTCGGCCGACCGCCGGTCTCCCTAGGTTCTTGCCGAATGAAGGGACTCTCCCCCGTGAAGTGACAGCTGGGAACTCTGCTTGGGAACAGCGGCCGGTGTTGAGACACTATGCTGTCAAAAGGCCGTCACTGCACTCAAATCCAGCAAAGCAAGTGACATTTAAGAGAGCTTGCACGTGGAAACCGAATGGCGGGGTGGGAGGGGGAGAAATCTTGATTCTCCTCAAATTCTCAGGCCTCAAATCTAGGCACAGCTCACAGACACCATATGAAACCAACAGCGTGAGTTCAAGGTCACCTTGGAAAATAAAGGTCACTCTGGGGTGACAGTTCTTTATACAAATATTATGCTTCCCCCTGAGCCCCACTACCAAAAAGGGGGGGAACTAATAAGAAATCCAAAAATAGAAAACAACATCTTGTTAAGTGTAAACGTATCCTCTAGTTTTTATATTACATACGCTGGAAACGCACTTGTTTCCGCTGGGATGTAAGAAAATAGGTCTATCGGTATTACTTACAAATCAGATTAATCCTCGAGACAAGTGACTCACTGTTAGAACACCACTTCCAATTTTAGTAAATCACATCTTTAGCAAATTATAAATTCTCACAAGCAAAACGGGTTTGGGCTCCAGCCAATGAGAACCACTGCTACTCTTAACATGGCCGCTCGCGGACTAGTTTCCTACACTCTGGGGGACGGAGATCACCACCAACGAGGAGCCTGGGACACTACGGGGTCTTCAGCCCCCCGATCAAATTCCTGCTGGCAATGAACTCTGCAGCCTGAGCGAAGACACACGGACAGAGAGTCACGGGGAGTGACGACTGTTCACTCAGAGACGGAAGGGGCGGAAGAGATGACCAAGGCATCCCCCATGGGGATCAAGGCACAGAGGAAGGGGGGACCTTGCTCCACACCGGAGCCTGGCTTCTCTGCAGGTCACGGCGCAGCTCTTGGGGCTGCTGGCGCGGCACGAGTCTGCCTTGCTGTGGGCTCTCGGGCAGGAGTCCTGAGGACGGCGCCGGGCCCAGGCTCCCGTGTGGCAGTGCTGGGCGGGGGTGGCGTGGCTCCCAACTCCTAGCAAGGCCACCTGAGGGTGGGGGGGAAGGTGTGGGCGCTTTGCACCAGGGGCATCGGCGGAGGCCTCGGCCCCAGGCCCGGCCAAGAACCACCGGGGCACGCAGCTCTGGAGGGGACCTCCGCCGCGGGCTTACCTCTCTCCTGACTGCCAGGTTCAGCAAAGCCTGGCTTATCCAGGGAACAGCTGGGGTCTTCTGATTAACTCACTTCCAGCACACTACCCAATGGATAACAGATTCTGAACGAATAAAAGAAAAGTGTCTGAAGTTAAAATTTTCACTTTAGGATTCAGAAGGCACTTCAAAATTCCGGAGAGCCATAGGGTCACGGTCGTTAGGCCACCAGCCTTCCTGTACAGGAGCGACAGGGAAGCTGGAAGAGACAGGGCTACCTTTGGACCTGATGGTGTCCTGGACATCCTGGAAATCACATCTCAGGGATCAGCCAGCGCAGAGTCAAGCGTAAGCACAAAGACACACAGTGTGTTTGTGGTCTGAATCGATGCGGTTCTGCGGCACCGTGGCGGTTTACAAAAGAGTCTCGCGAGTCTGATATTTGACTCTAAGTAAAATTCAAAAAATTTAACGGTGCATTTAGGAGGTCACAATGTGAGAGGGAAAGTACTCACTGAGTACAACTTTCTTAATCACCGAATCGCCCTGCCAATTTGCACTCCGTATCCAGCTGCACGTGTGTGACATTAAAGCCACCGGGTGCTCCAGTGCCGCACGTGCCAGCATTTAAAGACTCCACCGGATGCGGGAACCATGGCTCTCCGACCAGCAGCCCCGAAGCAGAAGCGCCTCTGAGCTGCAGAGGTGCCCGGTGCCTGCCCTGCTCGCCAGCTTGCTTTGAGCACGTGCGTGCGCACAGGCCAGGGCACAGCTGTTTGGGCCGTGCTTTTCGGGGAAGCGAAAATCAAAATCATGTCTCTGACGGGCCTGGCCGGGGGGCGGTGGGGGGGTGGGGTGGGGTGGGGGATACTCTGAGGTAGTTCCTTAACTCGGGCTGCCTGTCACCTAGTCGCTCTCAAGAGCTCAGCATGCGTGGGAAGGACTAAAGTATCTGCGCTGCTCGATCACAGGTCACCATAAGCTGAGTGCAAAAGTAAAGGAGACTTCAGGTGCTTTATTTAGCTTCCAATTTCTGGGAGGCTCAAGAATGAGAATTATTCTGGACAACAAAAGGAAAGAAGACTGTGCTTACAGATCTTTTTCTGCCGTATTCTTTCTGTAGGATTGCTGTTTTATTGTTGCCCTTTCTGTTACACGAGGTGTACACGTCAGGTGGTAAAAAGTACAATACATTCTACAACTGAGCACCACTTTCTGTAACTGAACAGGCGAAGAAAGTCCACTGAACATCAGCATCTGGCAGTATTTTTCGGGGGGGAAAAAAAAAGTGACTAAAATGGGTTTAAATTGATTAACACTATTAAATCACATCTAATATTTGATACTACATGATTCAATACAGCTATACGATACAATTATACAAAATGTGTTAACATCAAAGAATACAACCAAAATTAAGATAGCAAACAAAACCTATATAACTTTTTTTTTTTTTTACAGGAAAAATACTTTTGAAGTATGCATGTAACTGCCCATTCTTTTAAAGAAAATCTACTGCAAGCAAAGTTATCAACCTCCAGAAAAATCACACGTAGCATTACTAAGCATATCCCCAAAAAGTGTACAATATGCACACTTGGAAAATACAAAATTAAAAAAATTGTAAGCAACAGGTGAGCTTCGTATTTATAAGAATGTGAAAAGAAGTCCCGTTGTCAGCACTGTTGTATAAAGAATTGTCTTTTGATGCGAAGTTCATGAATTGTCCTCCTGTCGGGACCACACTTTACAAAAACACCGTGTTTTTGAAACGAGATTACAGAGCAAGATAGAGCATCTTAGCCATCTCATCTTATTAAAGTTTTTTTTTTTAATTTTTACTACTTTATCAAAACATGTCCCTTAGGTGTGTAGGATTCATTTTTAAAATTCTTTCCTAGAAACAATATACAAAGGAGAGGCGTGTTTATTCCCAATCACGCTCCTAGAAGGAAGAGGCTCCCCGGGCTCGAGAAGGGTCTTCTCCGTGCTTCTTCTCACTGGTTGTTTTTGGCCTTAGCGTGTGTTAAGATGTGAGATTTCAGGTTAGTCGACTGAGCAAACTTCTTATTGCAGCCGTCGAAGGGGCACACGTAGGGCCTGTCCCCGGTATGGATGCGCACGTGCGTGCGCAAATTGAAGTCCAGTGAGAAGCGCTTCCCGCAGCCTTCGAACGTGCACTGTCCAGAGAGACCAGAGAGAGCCGCTGAGACTGCGCCCGGGCCCCGGGGGTGTAGGTGGCCACGTGGGGACAGCCCGCTCCCCTCGTCGGACACCGTGCCCTCCCTGCTCAGGGGCCGAGGGCTGGCCCGTCACAGGGCAACTCCCGAACCCTTGGACGGCCCTTGTGACTTACGAGGGAAGACAAACACTCAACAAAATGCCAAGAATCTCCCTCAGTACCACGTGGAGGCCTGAGGACTTCTGTACAGGGTTCAAATGGTAAAATACAAAGGAGGGGCGCCCAGGGGGCTCGGGCGGTTAAGCGTCCCACTTCGGCTCAGGTTGTGATCTCACGGCTCGTGGGTTCGAGCCCCGCGTTGGGCTCTGTGCTGACAGCTTGAAGTCTGGAGCTGCCTTGGTTTCTGTCTCCCTCCCTCTGCCCCTCCCCAGCTTGCGCGTGCATGCGCACTCTCTAATATAAACCAACATTAACTAAGTAATAAAAATACAAACGATTAGAAGTGTTCTGGTGTCAAGTGTCAAAAAGAACCATGTTGGGACACCCTGCTGGCTCAGTCAGAGAGCATGTAACTTGATCCTGGGGTTCTGAGTTCGAGCCCCATGCTGGGGACAGATACTACTTTAAGTTAAAAAGGGGGCACCTAGGGGGCTCAGTCGGTTGAGTGTCCGACTTCGGCTCAGGTCACGATCTCACGGTTCGTGGGTTCGAGCCCCACGTGGGGCTCTGTGCTGACAGCTCAGAGCCTGGAGCTGCTTCTGATTCTATGTCTCCCTCTTTGCCCCTCCCCAGCTCATGCTCAGTCTCTCAAAAATAACATTAAAAAAAGTTAAGAAAAAAAAGAACCGTGTTAACTTTAGAGCTGCATTGCTAGTTTGTTCACGCGTTACGAGTTTCTAAAAAACAAGACAAAATATTAACTATACTTATTCTCGTGCAGTAAAGTTTCGCGAGTTCCCAGCCAATGAGGAACTCCACATGCTTACGCCAATCACAGAAAGTAAACTGCTTACAAGGCCCCGTGAGCGCACTAGGAATGCAGTTTTAGGCGTATGCAAGCAACCCTGCTTTCCTCTGCTCGTGAAATACGCCCCCTCAGCCCCCCCCTCCACCGCCCGCCCCGCACACCCCTACAGCCCGCCCCCAGGACCTGGGTCCCAGGCAGCCCTTCGCTGCGCTCTGTCGGACACCAGCTGTTTCCCGCGGCTCCGGGCTGCGCCTCCCCGACCCGGCCCTGCCTACACCTGCAAGCGGCGCGGAAGGGGAGGGGGCTGGCTCTACCTGAAAGGGCTTCTCTCCAGTATGAACCAGTTGGTGTCGTTTTAGTTTTGAGCTCTCAACAAAAGCTTTGCCACATTCTGCACAGACGTGGACTCGGGGGCCGTGGGTGTGCAGATGTTTTCTCATGGCAGAGTTATCCCTGAACATCTTTGTGCAGCCCTTTGAACAGAGAGAGAAACTTAGTGGTTCACACCGCAGCTGGTACAAAGGATCCAACCACTAAACAGCCATCACTGATGCAAAAAGCCACCCCCCAAGCCCCCCTTACAGTTTACTTAGGATTACAGTAGAAATATCACATTATTTAAGACAAAAAAACCAGATAGCTGGAAAGGGCCTTCTCATTTAATGCCAACCCTTGTTTTACAGATGAGGAAACTGAGGCTCAGAGATGTCTTTAAGACTTGCCCGAGGTCGCACTGCCAGTAGGAGCCAAGCTGGGAGCAGAACCCGGCACCCCGGCTTCCGGCCACACCACAGCCGCCTCACTCAATAAGCCCCCTGCCCCCCCAAAGTAACACAAGCCCCGATGAACAAACAGAGGCGGACGGGCAGCTGGCCGCCACCAGCCTGGGCGGGCCCCTCACCCTGCGCTGCGAGGGCGGGCTGTCCTTCTCCATCGCCTACTGTTCCCTCTCCTCTCTTTGCCTCTTTCCCCTTCTTGACAGAGAAAGCAGGAGGGTCCCCAGGGGGTGACAACTGCAGAGGAAATGGCTTCGGAGAGCTGCCAGAGGAGACGCGGGCACGCGGCGCTCCCGGGACATTTCTTCTGCAGTTGCTGTCCGGGAGCGCGGGGGGGGGGGGGGGGGCGCGCGCAGACGGCACGACCCAGGAGGGCACAGGGAGGGGAGGGCCACAGCTTTTCCGCTTTGACCCTCAGGCTGTGTTCCCACTTAGAAGATGGAACTGGCCGACAACGTCGTCGGGGAAAGGAGTACACAGAGAAGCCAGGGACTCACAGGCAGGGGAGGCGTAATGTTTTCAACCGCTTATTTACTTTTTGGCCCCAAAGGAAATAGTTCCACGTTTCGGCGTCTCCACAGTGAGAGCCTTAAAGGCCGAACACGGAGAGCCAGGAAGGCAGCTCCTCCCCCAGCTGCTGGTCTTTAAACCTTCTTTATTCCACAAAACATTTCTCCCCCTTCCCTTTCTCCTCGCCTCAGTGGTACTTCTTTTTCTGTTTCACATCCATCCAGTTAAGTGCGAAACCCACCTGGCCAAGGCCGAGGACTTTCTGGGCGATCCTGCTGTTTGGAAGGCTAACCACATTTGAAAACAATTAGGCACCCCGCTAGCAACACACAATTAACAGGGTAAATTAAGAAAAGTGTTCAGGAAATGAAGTTTATTTGGCTTGCTTTTAGCAAAATCCAAAATAATTTCCAAATTTCCATAAAGGTCACAGGCGAGCCACAAGCCAATGTCTGAAGACTGCCTTGTTAATGACCCAGGAAAGAGAAAGAACATCCTTAACGCTGTATATTCAACATATAACGAGAGTAAAAACATTGGCACCCCACTTAGTAGCATTTAAGTGGCCTTTGCTGAACAGAGAAACTTACAGCACAAATACAGCCTCCGGAATGGAGGAGCCAAGGATTACAGCTCCTCACTTAGGAGATGGGAGTAAAGCACAGATCTCTTAGCTCCCGACGGAGCCCTTCCCCCTAGCATTACTTACTTTATGAGGGCAAGCTATTGTTCTTGGAGCATCGTCTTCCTTAATTTTTCTTGGCTTCATTCTTACCAAAAAGAAAAAAAAAAAGAGAGAGAGAGAGAGAGAGAGATTTGTAGGAGCAGGTAGACTCATCGGGCATCAATCAAGTAGCCCCTGAAATGCTTTCCTTACAGATACAATCCACTAGGGCCTCACGGGGCACCCGGGAGGGCGGGGCTGCCAGCGCCGCACCCGCACCGGGCACCCAATCACAGACGCGGAGGCGGGGCTCCTGGGGGTGGGGCTGCTGCCAGGGCCTCGTGGGGAGTGAGCTGCTGGCCAAGGGGGAGCTTCCTGCATCTGCTCTTTCCTTCAAGCTCTTTACAGAACACAAGAGACCAGCAGCCCAAACCACTCTGCTCCTGGTGGGAGCAAAGCGTGGCCAGGAGCAGGGCTGTGACGGCGAGGGCACCTGTACAAAGGGAGGAACAGGTGTGGGAGCCCCCCCCCCCAGGACACCGCTTAAAAAAAGGGAGGGACGGTTCATTTCATACCGAAAGGCGTCATTTTAAGACGGACAACTTTTGTAAAAGGGCACAGGAGAGTTCTTGTAAACAGAGAGTTACTTACATGATCTCTGGAAAGAGATGCAGTAACAAACTCTTGGTACTGGGGCTGGGGAGCCCCTCGGGACTGGTAGCCAGGCGGGAACACCCCACACCCTTTCACACTGTTTAATTCTATCATACTACTACTTTCAGTGGCGGTGGGAGGGAGATTACCATTTTTCAAAGTATAAGTGCATTTTTTTTTTTTTTTTGAAGTGACAGAGCTCTCTGGCCCTGCTCCGCGACGGGGTAGAACAAGAGACCCGATCATGTACGTGGGCAGCGGGGAGAGCCCCGTGCGGGGTCGCTACCCAGAGAGCTTGCTGACTTCATAGCTTACCTACCTGCTATTTCCACTGAACCAACCTTTGGTCTTTTGTCAAAACTTTCTCTCCAAATACTCCCTACAGAGCTGTGTGTGGTAGAGGGGTGAGAGATTAAGAGTTCCTAGAAAAACTAGAAAAACAGATTTACATCTCGGAAACAGATGTTCTCTCCTGTCCCTGCGTCTGCCACCTCACGCTCCTATGGGAGGCCACACACGTAACCAAGTCAGTGAGGCCTCCCCAGTTAGAGCTAACTTACCAGCACTCTGTCAGTACAAACGATCTCTGGGGTCGTCTTTACTTCAGCCAAGGCCCTAACAATACCCTTCTCCACCCCTGGTCTGGGAAAAGGATGACCTGAAGCTTTTATCTGGTAAAACCTGAACTCAGGAAGTCATCTACTTAAAACTCTCCATCCCTGGGCGAGCACTGGTGAAAATTTAACTGGTGGCTGTGACTTATTGCTACACTTTACCTGATCTCAGCCACAAGGCTGAAAAGCGATGTGGAATTTAGTTCTAAGGAGTCTGTTCAAGACCGCATACACTTCCTACCTTCAATCCTAGGAGAAGGTTTCCACCTGGCTCCCCGCCCCCATTCCAACCCTGCAGACACGCGTTCTTGCTACATGTACTTGGAAGATCACCCCATCAGTGAGCAGACGGTTTCTAAGTGCCTGTGTGCCTTCGGGGCTCAGAACTATCCTGTTATCTTAAACACGATTAAATCCTGGAGCTCGAGGATGAGCTCGCACAGCCACGGACAGAAAGCTGGTGCCACTGCGCCCCCTGGAGGTAGCATCCGAGCTTGGAAAACAGTAGAGAATCTCCTAAAAGGGTTCTACTCCAGTCAGGTATTAATAATCAAAAACGGTGTATTAAGAACCAAGCTTCCATCTTCCCAACAAATAATGTTTACTCCTTGATGACTGTTCTGGAATGCTCTGTCTCGACTGCAGAAACGGCTGCGTGACAGCGCCTGTCCAATTCCTCCTAGGTGGCGCTCACCTAAGAGAGGGTGAATTTCACTGTACGCACGTCATATAAATAAAGTGACTTTGACAGGTAAGTCGCAGACAACCACTTCCTGTCCCACCCATGCGGGATTCCCACGTGGGGTCAATGTCAGTGCAGTGCCTGCATCATAAGGACAGGGGTGCCCACTCTACCTTCCATACGGTTTCTTAAATTTGCTCCAAGGAACTTGATTTTCAACAAAGGTTTGTTTATCAAGGAAATGTTCAAATATATACAAAATTAAAGACCATAGTCCCCCGTACCATTGACCAAACTCTTGATTTCTTAAATGTCATTATTAAGTGGTATTTTTCTTAAAATGTCATTTGCAAAATGTGTGCCAGCTTTAGCAGTATCACTGATCTTAGAATGCAAGTCTAACATGTATTTGGACAAACACCCTTGGACTCGAGAAGGGTGGAAATGGAAGGTTTAGCCGCAGCCACTCTCAAGCTCCTTCGCAAATCCTCCTCCTTGACCACAGAGTGGCGAATGAGGCAGTAAATGCTGGTACCTTTCATATTTTATTTGAAGGCAAATATTGAAAAGGTCATTTTCCAAAATCTAGATTGAAAAGTGTGTGTGTGTGTGTGTGTGTGTGTGTGTGTCTGTGTGTGTGTGTGTGAGAATAAAGGCTAAAATTAAAATCTTCATGGCACCAACTGATATATAATCTACAAAATAAAGTATCTGAAGTCCTATGCTGCCCTGCTGGCATCTCCGCAGCTTGCCCGGGGTAACCAGGACTGGGGTTTTTCTCTGATGGATCGATCCTTGGTGAAGGACACCACCGACGGTGGCCCAGGCACAGTGGCGGACTTGGCACGGACCCCTGCAGGCCGCGCGACCTTGAGCAAATCACTGAACCTCTCAGGCTCAGTTTCTCACTCTGTAAGAAGGCAGAATGCTACCTGCATTTGAGCTGCCACGACTGGAAGAGCCGAAGCGTGTGCAGCTCCTGGGGGGCGGCAGCTATTGTCACCCCGGCTGTGTGTTAAGTGGGCCCAGCTAACAATGAGCTCATGCCTTAACAACAACAACAAAAAAGCCAGTCAGCCTCAACAACCCGGAAGGTTCTGGTGCTCTGAGCGCCTGGTTTCAACTAAACAGCTGAGAGACTGCCGAGATGGCACAAATGTCAATCTATCACAAATTACAAGGAGAAGCCAGGACCCAACAGGAGAAGCTTCCGGTCCAGTTACAGAGACAGAGCCCCCGTTCCCTGTGGTCTGGCCACCGGCCTTGCAGCAGCTCACTCTGCACATGTCGGAGGAACAACACGGCAGAGCCTGGACTCCGGGGCCCAAACCGGCAGGACTTTCCCGGACGATTTTCGGCCGGGTGAAACCAAAGTTCGAGGCTGACCCTTGATGCCCAGAAGCCACGATGAAGTATTTGTGAAGCAGCAATTCTTGATGAAAATAAAGAATCTGTCTGTTGCCCAGCAAGCTCTGCTGCCTCTGGACTGGAACTGCGACCATGATGGTGACTGTGCCTCAGAAGCCCCCACCCCCGCAGAGCACAGCCCCGCCTGCAGCTGCAGCCCACCTCCCTCCCGTACCCGCAGCCCCACCAGCACATCTCATCTTCACGTGACCCCATGAAGGAGCCTCGGGGTGCGCGGTGGACACCCACAAAAATGACCAATCCGGGACTGACCTAACCACTCTTAACTCTGCTCTTTCTAGACCACGGGCTTCCCAAGGGCTAACTTTAGTTGGTGCAAAAGGCAAAAGCTTGTCTGATTTCACCAGGAAGTGGAACTCGCCTGGTCCCACGAAGTCACCTCCCCAGTACCCGCACCTTCAAATTAAAGCCTGATTCCTGACACTGGCTCCCACGCGTGTAACTCAACTACCACTGACCGGTTTGCGAGGCTCAGTGTGGCAGGGAGGCTGCACCTTCCTCGCTCAGCTTTCAGGTCCAGGGCAGAAGCCTGACACCCCGGCACACGGAGGAGAGGGAAGAGCAGCGAACACACCAGACTCGAGTGGAGTCACGGAGTGGAGGGGGATGAAGAGGGGGCCCGCAGAGCAGGTTCTGTGGGTCTTTACAAGTGAAAACACCGGAGTCTGGCGGCTGACAGTTGGAAACTTCATTCCTTTTCGTCTCTGGCTCTCAGAGTCCCCGTCCCCAGTGCCAGGGGCCCTGGAGAACCCGATTCAGCGGTTGGTCACGCCCATTCTCAAAATGCAAAGACCTGACAAATCAGGGCACTCCAGGCCCCAGTGCCTCTCACCACCACCCCCCACCCCATTAGAGACCGGGTGTGGCTGGACCTGACCTGTTCCGTGACACCGTGGACCACAGGGCCGTGCACGCACCCAGCCGTACACCCCCACTCAGTATACGCTGCCAGGAAGAGCGAGCTTTCATTCTATCCAACGCACATACATACGCTGCCTCCTGCAGAGTGTCCCTGTGCCCAAGGACTGCGTTTCTTGCTCCAAGAGCCCGACACGGGGGCCTGAGGACACCGAGAGACATGCGGCATGGGGCCGAACACGTTCTCTGAACTCAAATCACGCCCATTTTTAGGCCATGGCCTTCTCAGCACTGCCTCGGTCTCCAGGGGGGCTCTGACCATCCTCTCTTGTTTAGAAAACTCTCTCCCATCCCACCAACCCCTCCGGCTTCCCTTCCCTTGCCGCCTATTCTCCGTCCCCACTGCAGAACGCACTCCACTTTATTCAAGAAACTCTCACAACTCACCGACTTCCTATCCTGAATTGCACGTGTCTCCAGCCCGCCACCAGCTGCCTGCTTGCGGGTCTGTGCCCCAGATTCTTCAGGAGGCTTCCTCTGGATGTGCTGCAACTGACAACCCCCCCCTCCAGAAAGGGTGCATGTGACAGCAAACCAGTCCCCCCGCCCCTACAGCAGCCACTGTCCCGCCAGGACCAAGGAATCCAGGGTTATACGAACTTCTCCTCACACATCGTAAAACGTGGCTCTGCTGTCTTTAAACTCTCTATTGCTGGTGAAGAAAGGTCTCATCCATTCAGGCCTCATGGGGTTGAGGACAGCCCTGATGTAGAGGCAAAGCCGCGTGGGAAACAAGCAGAAACTTCTATCTATTCTACAACAGGGACACGCACCTCCTGACCACAGGGCTGAAACACTGTATTTTCTGTTCCTAAAACTGGGGACGAGCTTTCAGACCAGCTGCCCCAATTGGTCAGCGAGGGGGAGCAAGGCCCAGGGTCACCAGCACCCAATTACTTCCGCTCCCCATACCAGGTTCCTTCTCTCTGTAAAACCCTGCCTCCGCCCTCAGCTGAAATACTTCTTGATGCAGACAGAACTTAGAGAACAGTCATTCGTCCCTCTCCTGGACCTTCTGACCACCCCACAGGCTTCTGTGACGCTGTCCTTACTCTCCCAAGCCGCCCCATCTGTGCGGATGGGCCCTCTCTCTGCCGTCTGTCGCTGGTTTCCTTGCCCTCTGAGCACAGGTCTGTCCGAGGCACCTTCCTCACCACCTGTGTCACAGCAGTCTAGCCCTATCTTACTTCCTGAACCCCCCTCGAGTCCCACAGGGAGGATTCGTCCGCAGCTAAAACCAAACACTGTCCACCCTGAGGGTGCCCCTCACCCGGCACCCTCTCCCAGCCTCCTGCAGCCTAAGGTGCGAAGCTGGAGCATCTGCTTTGATTCCTCCCTCACCGAGCCACACAGCTGGTCTGGCTCTTGGTCTTTCCCAGCGTCCCCTGCCGTGCGGAACATGTTGATTCCTTCAGTCTGGCCGCCACAGTCCTGGTGCGGCCTCCGGGACCTCTCCCGCTTGCCGGCTGCACCCGCACCAAGCCAGCCCGGAGACAGCGAAGGTAGCATTCTCCGAGTCCCCCCGTGGCCACAGAGCCCCTGCCCTACTGGCCTCATGCTCTGGCAGCCGCCTGCTGCACGCTGAAAACATCCACATACGCTGGCCCAGGAGTCACAGAGCTCACCGATCTCTTAAACTCCAATGTCCCCCTGCGTGTATCCAAATTCCCAGCCGACCCATTTGTTTTCTGAGCGCATCGTGGAGGAGGGCTGCCTATGCACCTCCCCACCGTGCACGCGCCCCGCCAGCATCAGGCCCGCCAAGAAGACTGCGCCCACCCATCAAATCTCAGCGTCTTCAAGGCTCAGATGAGATGCCACCCCTTCTACGAGGCCTTCCCTGACGTGTGTGTTCCGTAGCTCTCCCCTGCGAGCGCAGCCCCTATCCTCACTGAAGTCCAAGTACAGGAACGAGACGTGACTAACTTTGAAAACACGTGACAATACTAAACACTGGCAGGAAACGTGACTGAAATCTGTCCAAAAACTCTAATCTCACTGTTGGCTATGGATCTACAGACTCCATTTTTATCTGCATGGGGGGGGGGGGGGGGGGGGGGGGGGCGATGTGTACAGAGTTAATATTTGAGTAACACAGCGGCATTTAAAATAGGAATGGCAACAAGAGCCGGGACACGGTGTCATCAACAAAAGGACAGAGGCCTGAACTTTCCTGGGTAAGCGGCCATCAGTCAGAAATAAGCTAATGTGCAGGATTCCCCACGACTGCGGCCTCACAGGACAGGACCAAAGGGCACACATATCTGTCTCTCACCCCATCTGACACATGGGGAAACCAAGGCTCCACACGGCGGGAGGTTACCCACCTTGTTTTCAGCAGGGCTGGGAGAAGCTAGGACATTCCAGGGCCTCCAAGCTCTTACCTACTGCACTCTGCTCTCCGGAGAAAGAAAAAGAGAGGGCCCCACGCTGTTCCTACATGGTGTGGGGTCACAGAGACGCCCCTGCCCCTGCCTACGTTCCCTGGCTACCCCAGCCTCATTCACCCTCAGGCTGGGAAAAGAAGTCCTTCTGCTCCAGAGTTCAGGAGTTCTTTTCATTTTATTTACAATTTGGTCTCTGAGTGTTCTCACATCCTTGTAACGACTGCCAAGCGGTACTGGAAAATAAACAACGTGAAGAGGAGCAGAGACTTCTGCAGGAACCCGGGCCGCCTCAGGCAACACAAACCTGCAGCGGGTTCAGACCTTCCTCCCTGCTCACCTTGGGCGGTCCCGGGGGTCCCGGCCGTAAGTGCTTGACCTGGTCCTGCCGTGCCAGCTTTAATGGACAAAACACTGGGAGCATAACTGAGGACATGCTGCAATACGAAGGGACAATTCCTTCCCAGCGGCTGGCCGCGCACATCTACAATTGGCCCCGGGGTCCGGCACCACACCCTTAAATGTACAGTGCACACCAGGAGGCCGGGGGGTAGTGTAAAGCTAGCCGTTTCAGAGCAAATTATGTGCAATTTATTCACAGGCAGGATCAATTATGAAATTAGAAAGTATTTGCTTCATCTCACTGTCTGCAAGTTCTAAAATGGTGCCACTCACACTCATAGCATGGTTCCTACTAAAAATAAAACTAACTGCCTTTGTTTTCAGGAGTTTCCTTAGAGCAAGAATACAAACCGCCATTGTAATTTACTTAGGCACCAAAAACGTAGCAGCCGACACTCAAGCACTCTGCGATTAAAAAGAAAGGCAAGTTCTTCCGACTTACCTAGCAAATTCCGCCAGCTGTTTGGGGTCTGAGAGGTCAATGCCGGGTATCCCTCCAGGAGGAAGCTTCTTTCCTGTCATGTACTCTGAGTAATCGGGAGGGGAGTTCTCTCCAATGATCTGCTCCTCAACCACTGTCTCATGGTCAATATCTTTTTTTTCATCTGAAACACGCCAGAAGATTATTTTTAGTGGAATAAAAATGTGCATGTGGGCAAACACATTTAAAAAACTATGAAAAGGGCTTTTGTGAGCAGCTTCCGAAACGTGTGGGTGATGTGTAGCCGCCAGCCCCGTTTCTTAGCCACCCAGTTCGTCCCCCTCCATCTCTTGAAATCCCGTTTATGTCTGAAGGTCACCAGAATCTGCAGTGCCAAACCTTTGTGCTAGTGTGGCCGGCTTAGCCTGTCGGGAATATTCTCTACTCCTGACTCGGCATTCACTGTGGCTGCTCCCACTTCTTGAACTGGCTTCTCCCCCCACCCCCCCACTCCTCAGCCGTCTGCTCTCTGTCCACCCCATGTACCACCCATGAGGCGGCCCCGCGGCTGGCCTCCCGCCCCAGCCCCGCCAGCTCTTGCTGCTCTCCCCACACCCTGCTCCGGCCATGCTGGCCTTTCCGTCCCTCCAAGGACTCCCAGCCCTTCACCCCAACCCCGTGGCCCGTGTGCCTCATGCAAATTCAAAATGAGAGCGCCCTGCTTTCTGTCGGCCTCTCCGGCTAGACCGTAAGCACCACGAGGACGGGGGTGCCTGTCAGTTCTGATCTCCAGGGCCCTGTTCAGTCTGCACAGAATTGGCTCTCAACAAACACGTGTTCCAAGAATGTGTATCTCTACCCATAGGTCTTCCCATCACAAATGCAACAGGTCACAAAAACGGAAATGACCCCCGTCATTAATCCCCCACATCCCAGATAACAAATCCTACCGACTTTTGAAAGGTCATCTTCCCTTGTCCCACGGCCATCAAGGTAGATCTTACCCTCATCTCAAACCTCAATGACCATAATTTCTTAATTCTTCCTTCCAATTCTGTTCTCTGCCATAATGATGTGCTGTGTGCCGTAAAGGTCAACTGATGAGCAAATACAGCTGATATATGTTCACCTGTGGTGTGAACCCTTCGGAGGCATGTTTTTGTTTTTTTTTAATGTTTGCTTATTTTCAGAGGGACACACAGAGCATGAGTAGGGGAGGGGAAGAGACACACACACACATACACAGAATCTAAAGCAGGCTCCAGGCTCTGAGCTAAGCTTAGCACAGAGCCCGACATGAAGCTTAAACTCAAAAACTGCAAGGTCCTGCCCTGAGCCGAATTCGCACGCTTGACCGACTGAGCCCCCCAGGCACCCCCAGAGGTATAAATTACTTCGTCTCGGCATCCTGGCTCCCTTGCTGCCTGGCCTCAGGTTATACATCCTGTCTGACCTCCTACTTCTCCCCTGCACGAGCAGCCCACGCTCTCACTGAGCTGTGCTCCTCACAGGTTAGCTCACAAGCGCCTGGCAGGAGATACTCTGTAAGGGCTGGTTGATTCTCTCGCTCTAGCTGCAGATTCTTCCCTCGTCCCTGCACTCCTCCTGACAGTACTTCTGGGTAACAACACCAACACACTCTAAATCATGCCCTCGGGCTCTGAGCTGTCAACGAAGAGCCTGACACGGGGCCTGAACCAATCCATGAACTGTGAGATCATGACCTGAGCTGAAATCAAGAGTCCGACGCTTAACTGACTGAGGCCCCCCGGCGCCCCTAAATTTTCACTGCTAACTGAAGGTTTCTGCTTCTGCATCAAAATGCTCCACAAAGAGCTATAACCACAGGACTCTGCAAAGCGAAAATCGGCTCGTCCAATGCTTACCTTCCCACCAGGGCAAAAACCCAACCCAACCCAACCCTACGGCTGCTGGTGCTACCAAGCAACTATGCCCAGCTGCCTAACAGCCGGCTCTCGGACACCAGGGACTTGGGCAAGATGAAGACAGAAGGTAGCTTCGCTTAATTCCTTTGGTCATTATCAGGTTCAGTCACTCCTGGCGATGATGAAAAGCACAGAATAGGTCACTCTTAAACTTTAAGTGTCTCTCTTCTCCCCCCACCCTTCATCTTAGAAAATGTTAGTCATCACTGCAAGGAATCAGAAAGTAATGACAGCAGCTGACACGTCGTCGAATGGTGACCTGTAGGCACTGTTTTAATTACCACACGTATCGCCCTCGAGGTGGACAAAGTCACTGGTTCGCGTTATGGGAGGCAAAGCCGAGGCCAGAGCCACTGAGCAGCCTGCTCGGGGCTAACTGGTCCGGTCCGCGGCAGGGGTGAACCCAGGCGGCCTAAATCTCAGACCTGAGTCCTGCGCCATGAGGCCCAGCGGCCTCCTGTCTGGACCGAGAATTATCTCAACAGCCTCTCCCAGGTTACCGCTTTACAGACGAAGCTCGGGGAAAAAACAGCTGGATGCCTTCAGGAAGAACAGGCGACGCGCCTAACAATCCGAAGCTAGGACGCTAAGACGCTGCACCATAACCGGATTCTTTAACTTCTGTTCCCAGCACTTTCATCACTCCTTCGCCGTCCAATCTTCCAACGAGGCCCAACCTCTACTCCTTCAACTTCCGAGGGCTGCAGGAACGCTCTGATGGGTGGAGGAGCTACTTTTCCTTACGGATGTCCTGTGCTTCTGTTGCAAGGACGCCAGCAAGGCTGACGGTCACAGCTGCTCAGGGAGCTCCTGATCGGGAGAGGCTAGGGCAGAGAGGTGGCTGGCACTGCTCGGCTCCTGGGTGACGGGGTCCCGGCCTAAATCATTCCTTGCACAGTTCAACACATGTCAGCCAAGGCCTCTGATGCACCTGACACCGTCTGAGGCACCGGAAACAAAACAAAGCCTCTGCCCTCACAGAACTTCTTTTCTGGTGGGAAAAGCCCCCTCAGTTCCGGCTGCTACAGCACAGCCCGCACAGACCGGGGGGCTTCCCCAAGTTTACTTCTCACAGTTCTGGAGATCAAGGTATCTGGCCAATTCAGTTCCTGGGGAAGCCGCTCCTGCTGGCTGGTGAATAGCCTTCCTGCCGTGTCCTCACAGGCAGAGCTGGGCCATCATCTCTCTCGCGGCCCTTCTTTTAATGGCACCAATCCCATCGTGAGAGCTCCACCTTGTGACCTAATTACTGCCCAAAGGCCTCACCTCCAAATAAGATCATACTGGGGACTTTAACTTCTGAATTGTGGGGGGACACAAACAAGTCAAATGAGGAAATGCTTCCTCCAGAGTCGGTTCTCAGCTCGAACATTCAAGAACATCAAAGCGCCCAGAGAATAGTCACTGACATCGCTAAGAACTGCAATCCAAAACACGCATGAAAGGAGTGTAAATAGAGGCTGACAAGTTTTACAGCCCCCGAGCACAGCCAGTGAGCCAAACCCAGCCTGCCAGCACCGCCCCCCATTTTCATGGTCTCCTTTTCATTTTTTTTTTAAATATTTTTATGTATTTCTAGGAGAGAGAGAGAGACAGCGTGAGCAGGGGAGGGTCAGAGAGAGAGGGAGTCACAGACTGAAACAGGCTCCAGGCTCCGAGCTGGCAGTCAGCACAGAGCCCGACGCGGGGCTTGAACCCACGAACCGCGAGATCATGACCCAAGCGAAAGTCGGACGCTTAACCGACTAAGCCACCCAGGCGCCCCCTCCTTTTCATTTAAAAAAACAAAAAACAAAAAACACTTTTCATTAAATAGACGTTAATGTAATGTTGATCATTCTAGCCATTCGTAAATGTAACCATTTTAACTGCTGTAATGATTTTAACCACTGTACATGTGCAGGGCATTAGGCATATTCACACTCAATATATATACACACGTTTATACGTGTACATATAAATATATTCATTATATATCACTACTCTCTACCTGAAATTTTGTCACATCCAACAGAAACCCGGTGCCCGTTAACAGTAACTGCCCCTCCTCTGGTAACCTCCAGTCTACTTCCTGTTTCTACAAACTTGCCTATTCCAGATACCTTTTTTTTTTTAAGTTTAATTTTTATTTTATATTAGAGAGCGTGAGAGAGAGCAAGAGTGAGCGAGGAGAGGAAGAAGAGGGGGAGAGGGAGGGAGAGGGGGAGAGAGAGGAAGAGAGAGGATAGAGAGGAAGGGGGAGAGGGAGGGGGAGGGGGAGAGGGAGAGGGAGAGGGAGAGAGAATCCTAAGCAGGCTCCACATTCAGTGCAGAGCGGGATGCAGGGCTTGACCACAACCCTGGGATCATGACCTGAGCCGAAATCATGACCTGAGTTGGACACTCAACCAACCAAGGCCAGGTGCCCCTCCAGATCCCTTCTATAAATGGAATCAAATAGTATTCATCCCTCCACATCAGGTTATTTCATCAAGCACAATGTTTAAGGTCCATCCATGTTGTAGCATTGCTTTTTCATGGCCAACTAATATTCCCATGTGGTCTCACATTTTGTTTATCCATCCATCTACTGACTGACACATGGGCTGTTTCCACCTTTTGGCTGCTGTGGATAACGCTGCGATGAACAATGGTGTGCACATATGCTGTCCACTTTTATAAATATCATTTTATTGAGACACAGCCATGCTTGTTTCCATGGTATCTACAGCTACTTTCCTGCTACAGTGACACTGTGGAGTTGATTAGTTGCATAAGGACCTATAAACCCTAAAATGTTACTATCTAGCCCTTTACAGAGAAAGTTTACTGACCTTTTATGTCTATGACAGGTTTTTTACTTAGAGTAAATAGGACTAAACTATAATGGAGATTTTCTTATATGAAACAGAACAATTTCTGACTATGAGATTACCAAATAATGACATTTACGACCAAAAGGGACATTTGTCAGCAGGTATTTTTTTTTTAATGTTTATTTTTGAGAGAGAGAGAGTGAGCGAGCGAGCACACATGCACAAACAGGGGAGGGGCAGAGAGAGAAGGAAACAAAGAATCTGAAGAAGGCTTCAGGTTCTGAACTGTCAGCGCAGGACCTGATCCGGGGCTCGAACCCCCATACAAGTGAGATCATGACCTGAGCTGAAGCCAGACGCTTAACTGAATGAGCCACCCATTCAAGTTTTATTTCGGAGGAGGACTAGACATGTCTGGGTCATGAATCTGATGCTAAAGATGT